AGAAACTACAGGTGGCTGGCTGAAGCACTCTCGTAACCGAAAGGGGCCTGCAGACTGCAGTGCAGGTGATATACAGTACTGTACAGTGCATGATTCGGAAATAAACGTGACATGACTGACAGCAGGTGCTCGTGGCCACCACGCAGCTGTTTTTTCTGAGAGCTGATGTAACAGAGTCGCCATCTGCATGGGCCATGGATGGCTCATGCTGTTCAGGCCTCACCCAGGCATGCCTCTCGCGCCGTGCAGGCCGTGGTTTTGAGTTTGAAGCCCCGAACTGCCAATTTTCATTTTTCTCTTTTCATGCGCCCCTGACAGATGGGCCCACAAGTCAAAAGAGAGAGAAAGGGGAGTTGACAAATGGGATAAGGGTATTTTGGTCATCTACCTTCGGTCAACGTCCATTGACATGACGACTACGGTGAAAAATGGTATTTTTGAGGTTGTGTCCAACAGAACAACGGCATTTTTGAGCAGTCAAAATTTTTAGTGGCAAAACTTAGTAGTGTTATACAACCGATGGCAAAACTGATAAAAACCCTTAAAAAATAGAAGAAAACCCATAAATGGGCGGGCCCAAAAGCTAAGGTAGGTGTGCTCCGGTTTGCAGAATGAACTGAAACTGACGCCTGAAGCATAACGCATGTTTGCTAGAGGAACTAATTGAGGAGAGTCACTTGGGGTGGACCGAGAGTGGTGCGCTCTCAGCCCCTGCCACTTGTCGCGCTCTGGGAACTCCCTCTTAATTTTTTTATTTCCATGCACATTTTTTGCTTTTTAGATGTTTTTTCCTTTTTTTTGTTTTTTCACCTGTCTGTCTTAGCTTTTAGACAGAAAATATTCATTCATTTTTTTTCACGAAAAAACATGTTTTTTCTTTTGAAATGGAAAAAACGTGTTTTTTATTATTATTTTTGCTCCCACGAGAGGCATGGTTGTGCCTCTTAGAAACGGAAAAAAACATGTTTTTTGCTTTCGCGAGAGACATGGATTTGCTTCCGCAAGAGCCATGGCCGTGCCTCTTCGAAGCGAAAAAAAATGTGTATTATCTTTTTCCCTTCCGCGAGAGGCACAGATTTGCTTTCGGGAGAGGCACGGCCGTGCCTCTCGGAAATGAAAAATAATGTGTTTTCTTAAAATTTTCTTAGGCGAGAGCCACGGTTTTTCTTCCACAAGAGGCATGAATTAGCTTTCGCGAGATGCATGGCTGTGCCCCTCGGAAACGGCTTTCGAAAAGGGGGAAAATGTGCTCCCGGTGTTGTTTTTTGTCTGTTTTTTTGTGAAAAAAAGTTCGTCAAAACCTATCAAAATTGGATCTAGTTTTGAAGATCTCAACGCGAGGAATCCAACAGTGAAAACGGTTTGCGATTTGGACACACGATTTAAGAGATAAAAACGTTTTGGATATACGGATCTACGAAAAAAGGGAAAGCTGCCAGGTTGCGACAAGTGGCGCACATGCAATGCCACTTGTCGCAACCTGAGGAGGTGGAAGTGATCTTTGAAAAGAGTACTGCTTAATTAGTGATTTCGGGTGTTTGCGCCCCTTCCGGGCTGCGCTCGTCCACCCAGGTCAACCTACACAGGGACATGCCCGTTGTGCTCGGTCGAGGGGGTGATGGCGGGCGATGGGCGGCACCGAGGCCCGCCGTCCGGTGGCTAGTATCTTGCCGACGATGAACGGTAGGAATCCGCCGCGTGCAACGCGACCACTCGCCGACTCGATGACCCGACCCCCCACCATAGAGATCTCCCCATGACATACTCAAATTCTTTGGTTTCTTAAATTCACCATTGTGAAGGCAACGTAGCTATGGTTTCTCAAATTGTATTCTGGTTGGTTCCATGCGTTGGGCTATCAGTAATCTGACAATTTCGTTGCGGCATACCAAGGGTGACAAGGATGCTACAATATGCACGTTTGACTGGAGTGATCCAGGACTATTTGTTTGCAGTTAATTTTGTATGCGTTTGTCCCTGTCGGCTGTCGAATCATCTTCTTAACCAACCAGTGCCATTCAACTCTCACTTATTATGTACTCCTACATCTTCAGAGACCGCGTGTTTGCAGGTGGCATGGGCAGGCAGTTTATCCTGCAGTACTTAAATCGCGATACCATAGACAAGTGCGGCGCTCGCCCGAGAAGTTGGACCAGATGGGAGGTGTCAAGCAAGCAAAGTCCATCATGTCCATGGTCATGTAGAGCTGACAGTTTTTTAATCATCACGCCACCCGCATCTAGTTGACTAACTGCTTCTGATGGGGAAAATGGTGCATTGTCAACGCCTTGGCTCGCAAAACTGCGCAATTTCCTCCCTGACTTGTATCCCACTATGCCAGCTATAAAGACCAGACTGATCAGATTGTAGGGTGCGAACGGACTTCCCTGTTAGTATCATGGTTTTCTGCGTAGTTGGATGCGTGTCGAGGTTCATCATCAAGAAAATAGGTGACTCAATGGGTTCTAAGTTCTTTCTTGCATGTTTCTGAATGATTTTTCGTTTACGTGTTACTCTTCTTTTTCTCCTGATCAACAGTTGACAGTTCGATTTGCATAAATTGCTATCAATCGTTTCACATCAATCTTTTGGCCAAACTGCAGGCACAAGGAGGATCCAAGGGAGGCCACAAAGGGCCATTGAAGAAGCTAAACCATTTGAAGACGAAAACGCATTTGAAAGCAATTCACTGAAAGGAGATGTTCTTAGCTCACCTTTGATTGAGTTCAGCACAGTTCTTTCAGCAACAAACAATTTCAGAGACAAGCTTGGCGCTGGTGGATTTGGTCCAGTTTACAAGGTAGGGTAATTAAAACTTCTGCATCTCTTGTTCCAGGGATATGATTGAGCTTTGATTTCATTCTCGGCGATGTATTTAGAATTTTAGATCACAGTTGACCAATATGAGCTGATGATACTTTCAGGGGAGACTACCAGATGGTCAAGAGATTGCTATCAAAAGGCTGTCGAACAGCTCGAGCCAGGGATCAGAAGAGTTCAAGAACGAGGTGACTGTTCTGTCCAAACTGCAGCACCGGAACTTGGTTAGGCTTTTTGGCTGCTGTGTTCATGGAGAAGAGAAGATGCTGGTGTATGAATACATGCCTAACAACAGCCTTGACTCATTCATTTTTGGTAAGTTTTGTTTTGGTTCTTGAGATTCGGACAGTGTGAATCTTTTGGCAGCAAGTCTGTAACTGAACTTGTCTACCTGATGACAAATTTATATCAGATGAAACTAAGAGATCAGTGTTGGGCTGGAAATTGCGGTACAATATTATTCAGGGTATCGGAAAAGGATTACTTTACCTTCATCAGGATTCCACACTGAGAATTATCCATAGGGACCTCAAAGCGAGCAATGTTCTGCTCGATGATGATTTCATCCCCAAGATATCCGACTTCGGCATGGCTAGAATTTTCGGTGAATACCAACGTCAAGCCCTTACTCACCGAATTGTTGGAACCTAGTGAGTCTCCTTTTCTCTTTTGTTCACCTAGTATAAATGAACATGCCTTCAGGCTAATGTGTTAAAATCTGTGGAAATGCAGTGGCTATATCGCCCCAGAGTACGCGATGGAGGGGAAATTCTCCGAGAAATCCGATGTCTTTAGTTTTGGCGTGTTGATCCTGGAGATTGTGTGTGGCCGTAGGAACAGCTCCCTCATTGATCACGAATGGTCAATGAACCTCGTGGGCCACGTAAGACATACGACATTGTCTTCTCCAAACTACCATTTTGCTATGTAAAACAACTTAATAATAGCAATCATGGATTCCATCTTCCATGCTTGGCTCCAAATTTCAGGCATGGACGCTGTGGCAGGAAGGCCGCGCCTCAGAGCTCATCGACACGCTGATGGGCACCACGTACTCTAAGGACGAGGTCTGCAGGTGCATCCAGGTGGGCCTCCTGTGCGTGCAGGAGTTGCCGGGCGACAGGCCGGCCATGCCTCTCGTGCTGAGGATGCTGTGTGGTGACGTCGAGCTTCCCGCTCCGAAGCGTGCCGCGTTCTTCGTCGGAAGAGCTCCTGCCGACGACAAGGATACCGAATCAGGGAACCACTTGACATATACTGAACTGGAAGGCAGGTAGACAGATTTCGGAGTGCGCCCTTGGCTCAAGTTGCTGATGTTTGTGCCTGTGCATATATACTACCAAAGATGGTGTTTCAATGTGACTGTTCTATTGCTACTGCTTCTGTTTTCGGTATGAATCTACTTGTAATTTGTGAGCAGTATGTATATTTGGGATACTGATTGTATATAGTTATGTAAATGATTGGAATAATTTTATTTTTGTGTTCTGTTGTTTTTGTTGTTGTATATTCTGTTGTTCTGTAGGATAAACTGTGATGTTCGGCGAGCAGACCATGTTGGGCAGGTGTGAGCTGCGGCATTGGAATGATAATAGGCATGAAAGTAAGGAATGAAGGAGCCTGCAAACAAGCACATGAGTGCTCGGTGGTACAAAATTATATGCATGGAATGAGCTGATTAAACGTCAAATGTGCAACAAACTGGCAGTCTGTGCAACTTGCGAGTTGATAACAGAACAGTGAAGGGTACCCAAATAATGCAATCATGTACTATGTAACCTATCTGGACTCAGGAAACCAGAAATCCAACACATGAGAGATCCAATTATAAAAGAGCAAAAGTGAGATGGCGGGGCGAGAAGGGAGAGATGCGGAGTGCTTTATTCGCAAGTTCGGCTATTGGCCAATATCAACACAACATGGTTTATAGTTATACAACAAAATCCTGATCCTCGTGATGCCTCCGCGCAATATGTATGGGCACCACACCAGTATAGGCAGTTGTCCGTGTCTAGTGCTCTGAAATCTGAGTCATTGATCAGTATATAAGCACAAGATACATTACAGATGTACATGTACACTAGTACATGATTAATGAGGCCGAATAGGCCATACTCTCTGCTACATACGATTGACCATCCACCTCCATTTGTGTGTCTGCTACTTACCGCTGACCCTTGTTAACCTTCAAACAAGTCTAAAACATCATTCTCTATCTCGTCAGGAGTATACTTTACATACTCGCTTTCATTATTCCCCAGATAGCAGCCGGACCTTTCTAAATATGTGCGATAAGCGGTAAGAACTTGCTGCAATATAATTAACCGTAAGTGTTGTCTAAGTTGAGGGTCGGGCACTTTCCATGTTGTTTGGACCCTGGTTATTTCTCCGAATGCCGAATTGAAATTCTTTATGCTTTTTCTCATACAATGAGAGAGAAATCCTGGCCTGAAAAGCACATCATAATCACTCACAGCATGATCACTCAACTGAGACAGAGCTCCAGTCCATGATGCTCGAAGGTAAGCTGTCCCATACTGTTCCACCCGTACGACAAGCTGTTGGTGGTTGTCGTTCCCCATGGACATACTCAGATCGGAAGACCCTAAGCCTTTAAGCACATGCATTGCATTATTCATCAGGAAAATGTACCTCAGGCGCTCGTCCTTGTAAGATTTAGCGTTCTCCTCAAACTTCAGCTGCAAACGTGCGAGCAGAATGCGCACATAGCGTTCCCAGGGACTCTTAGTTATCTCTGCGCCCTCCTCCTCCTCCTCCTCCTCCACAATGGGTAGTAAGATAAGATTGACCGTGTCACTGCACTCAGCAAGTTGTTCGACAAAACCCATGACATGTCGTGTCAATGGCCGGATATCTCCATCAAGTACTATATTTTGGCATGGTTTAGGGTTAGAACATACATTCAGGAACTCCATAAGGAGACTTGATGCTTCTTCCCCAAGCTTATCGAGAAGCATACTGGCCTGCTCACTAATCACGCCCTTGGCATCACCAGACAAGAGGACATTTATACTTCGTTGAAGCTTTATCAATTCCTCATGCATCTGTAGAAGTAGGGGTACTTTATGATGTTGCTGGTCATACACTTTGACATTTGTCATCATACTTCCAACTGCGAGCAATTGTCCAGTACACCGCGTGGTGGCTCTGGCAAAACAATCCTCCTCCACCTTACTATCACATCCGAAAATCTGAGCGCAAGAGTCGCGTTCTTCAGGGAGGACTGTGCTGACAAAGACTTTGAGTGCTTGGATCCACATTTTCTGATTCTTCTCATAAAGCTGCATGCTGCATGCACCGTTAGCAGTTGCTGCTGCTGGGCTGTTGTAGCTTTTTTGCTCAATTTGAACACTGAGCAAAGAAAGGAATTGCATTAACATGTGGTGGCGTGTTTCTCCGTAATCACGACACATGTTTGGTGCATGGCCAGCAAGTATCATAAGCTCAGCAATCTCCTTTAGATAGATTGAAGCTTCAGGGTCAATCAGATACATGTGTACTTTCTCCATGCACACAGGACCTCTGCTATATCCAGTACCATAACTTCGGCTCTCACCACTAGGACTTGTGGAAAATGAGGAGATGCTGAGATCTTCCAAGTTGGGGATTGACGAAAATGAGAAGGATCGCATAAAGGGGGCAATGCAGTTGTGCAGTGATTCTTGGAGACTGCTAGGGGCGTGTAAATATGTGCCCGAAGTAAGAACTTGGCGGAAGTCGTCCTCAAGGTGTACCATGGCAGCCTGCAGGGCAAGCTAGCGGTTAACTCAAGTACTTCCTGCATAACTCCCGAATAACCAAATTTTGCTGAATTAGCATAGTTTTATCAGCATCAAGATATAAGTGTGGGATTAGTTTCTAGGGAAACACTTCATTAGTGAGATTGTGGTATTGAAAAAAAATAGATGTGTTAGGTCAATTATCTGACTGATTATATATATGTTGTGGACACCTCCAATAGTATCCGACAAAACATTAGCCTCCTTCAGGAGGCGTGGGAGATTTAGTCATATGTTCTTTTATGTAGAGCCATGACTGCTCTTGCAAACGGATGCCCCATAATCTGTCCTTGTAAAGTTTTTTCTCCCCCTACTTAAGGAAAAAGCAGAGCACCTGCTACTGTCCTTCAAAAAAAAAAGATGATATATATATGTTGTCAAAGAAGTAAATATGAACATAAATTCGTCATATGTTCAAGTCACAATATCTGATAGTAGCACTGGAAGTATTAAAATCAACCCTATAGATTGAAGAACACGTATGTTATAACGGGACTGAGAATTCTAGTAAGGGAGATGCCTCAGTGTGCAGGGGCTTCTTGTGCACCGGTGCACGCAGTCAGATCCCGGCTGACATCTTTGAAAGATCTTACAAAATCTGGAGAAAAATATGACAATAATATTGCCAGCTAACAAAATTACATTATTTACCGAGCTAATTTTTATTTATATTTGAATCATTGGGACATCATAGTTTTATGCTGCGTCATGTAGTAATTTTCTTCTCAGATTTGCTTTCCCCATCTCACAACTACTTTTCAAGATTTATTTGTTTGAGAGACGTCTCTCCATTACTGTAATTTTCTCATACAACACAGCCTTTGCTGAAACAAGAATACGACTCCCAGTTCTGAACTTTCTACCGTCAGAAGCTATACTCGATTTGCCAAATTGAGCGTCAGATATATTAGTGAATAATGGTACTCCTCCATGAATCTACTACCAAAAGTGAGGCTGGACAGTGAGCCTGACCTGTAAGGCGATTTCGGCGCGTCGGCCGTACAGGCCACCACCTGAGCGGAGGGAGATGAGGTCCTTGACCGCCGCCACAAGACCAGCCGAGTAGGAGACGCCGTGGCTGTCCTCGACGGCCGCGCCCCGAGATGCCCACCTCCTTACGGCCTCATCGGCGGCCTCCAGCCTCCGGAGGCCAAGGTCGGCAACGGAGTCGTCGGTTCCCGGCGGCTGCGACGCCATTTCGCCCGGTGCTTGCAGTAGCAAATCGCAAGACGCGCGTGCACTAGTCAAAGTCAACACGGCGAGACACGTGGGCGGACTTTGCAGGCTCGCAGCCATGGCCAGTGGAACATTTTTCATTTGTGTGGACCACTAGACTGCTGGTTTTTCTTCGTCTTATCTTAGACCAATGGTAGGCCGGTTTCCAAATTACGCCCATCCAACGCAGGAGTTTCTAATAAATAAATACTCCCTCCGATTCCTAAATATTTGCCTTTTTGAAGATTTCAAATGGACTATTACATACAGATGTATATAGACATATTTTAGAGTGTAGATTCACTCATTTTGCTCCGCATGTAGTCACTTATTGAAATCTCTAGAAAGACAAATATTTAGGAACGGAGGGAGTAGTAGTGATCTATTTCCTCCGCTGCTAAATATTTGTCTTGTTAGAGATTTCAAATAGACTTTTCATATTATTTTTTTGATGAAAAGGGATTTTCCCCCACCCCACTTTTTATTTAAAACGGGGCAAAGCAAGTCACAGTGACTGTTACAAGCGAACGGGTTTACCAGAGATGGCAAACCAAAAAAGAAGAAGCCCGGCTCGGAAAAACGCTCAAAGTTTAACCATAATCCAAAACAGCTAAGAAAGAAAGACCATTGCCACGCAGGACATCATCAGAGATCACCAGTCAAGCACTACAGATAGTGACCCATCTCCTGCACGAAACAATCATCTTGAATGAGCTTTCAGCACATTGCCGCCCCGGGTCCTCTTTGAGCAAGCCCTCAGCTCCCATCCCAGGCGATCTTCCATTGATGTAGAGAAGAGTTGATCCTCCCCAAGATCGCCCGAGTGCTTGTCCATGGTATGCCCTGAAAGCAAATATCATTACGCATGGTCCAAATGCCCCAAATGGTAGCAACATAGGCAATGTTAACAACAGATTTCTTGTTATTCATGTTCCAGAAGGAAGATAATTCAAACATATTCTTAGGGAGGTTGAAACCAAAAGTATCAGCAACATCAACCCAAATTTGTTGGCTACCACACATTCAAAGAACATGTGGTGAACAGATTCATTTTCATTGCAAAATAAGCAGCTTAAATCTTCTACTACCCTCCTCTTGTTCAAGTTGTCTCTATTGAGGATTTTATTATTGAAAGCTAACCACACGAAGACCAAATATCTGTTAGGCACCACAATTTTCCAGAAACTTTTCCATAGTG